TGGCTGTACGTTAGAATCACTAGGAAACTTGAGTGAACAAATCTAGGTACCTAAGACTCAACCTCACAGATTCTGCTTTATGTGTTTTAGGGAGGACCTTGGGTATCTATGTTTTTTAAAAAAGTTTTCATTTGCTTCTAATGTGCAGCCCGGTTTGAGAACCACTGAGTAAATAATAAATAAATCAGCATTTATTATGACTGTGTAAATGCTTTTCATAGCTCAGCTATGTAGTAAGTCATTACTTTTCCTTTCTTGCTCATATTTTCCCCCTGGTGTTAAGAAATAATTTATTTTTTATTTAGTTTTCTATATACCTTTTTATACATTCATTAAAAGTATGTTGAACTTCTGTGTTAGGCATATAGCTGTGAACAAGCAGATTAAAATTTTCCTTGTTCTCCTAAAGTGTAAGGGGGGGAGATGTACAGTAAACTAAATAAATAAAGTACATAATATGTTAGATGTCATTAAGTTCTGTGGAGAATAATAAAGCAAGAAATAAGGAAAAGGAATATTGGAAGTAGGATGAGGTTATAATTTCAAATAGGATCATTAGGGAGGACTTCATCAAGAAGATGATATTTAAGTAAAGGCTTGAAGGCTGTGAAAGAGTCACGCAGATAATCTGGGGGTAAGGGTGTTCTCATCAGTGGGATTCATAAGTGCAATGGCTTGAGGTGGGATCCTGCCTTGTGTTCTTGAGTAGACAGAGGCAGTGTGTCTGGAGCAAGTGAGGAGGACCAAGGGTTAGATTGGGTAAGACCATAGGAGGCTATTGTCACGATGTTGGCTTTCATTTGCAGCTAGATGAGAATTCTTTATAGTCTTCTAAGCAGAGGAGTGACTTTATCTGACTTAGGGTTTAAATGGATTTCTCTGGCTTCTGCTTGGAGAATAGACGGGAGAAGGCACTGGCAGAATAAGGAGCCTGTTGGTAAGCTAAGACAGAACTTACACAAGATAGGATCATGACTTGGACAAGGGTGGTAATAAGCAGTGGCATTGGCGAAAAGTGGTCAGGTTCTGGGAAATTTTTTTTTTTTTTTTTTTAGCTACCATATTAACTAATTGGAAAAATTTTTAAACGTAGAACCAACAGGATTTTCTGATGGATTGGATATGGTGTGTGAGAGCAAAAGAGGGGTCAGTGGCGACTCCAAGGTTTTTGGTATGAACAATTGGAGGAATGGACTTTTAGCTAACTAAAATGGTGCAAAGACTGCCAGGGGAGCAGATGTTTTTTGTACGATAAAGAGATCTGGAGCTTCATTTTGGACATGTTAAGCTTAAGATATTTATTAGACACCTAAGGGAAGAGGTCGGATATAGCAATCTGGAGTTTAGGGAGACGCCAAGGCTAGAGATAGGCATTTATAGATTCATATAAAGTGAATAAACACAAATGAATGGAGTATAAATGGTAAAGGGGCCCAAGGACTGAAACCTGGAATACTCATATGGAAAGAGATTGGGGAAATGAGGATTCAGCAAAAGAAACTGAGAAAGACCAAGCAGTGATGTAGGAGGAAAACCAGGAAAGCTTGGTGTCCTGGAAGCCAAGTGAAACTATGTTTTGAGGAGGGAGTGATCAGCCTATAAGATGCAGCTAATGGATTAAGTTAATTTGAGAACTGAGGATTGAATATTGGATTTAGCAGTATGGAGCTTATGAATGGCCTTGATGGGATCAGTTTTGGTGGAGCGGTGGGGTGAAAGTCTGTTTGGTATGCATTTAAAAAATGACAGGAAGAGACAATTGGAGATGAGGAGTATATTATGAATCAAATTTTCCAAATCTCCCCAGTTGTGTTAAACTCATATTAATATGTTCAAACACAAGAGGCATTTGAACACATTTGTCTTCTTGAAGAAATCTCTCTGGGCTGGAGCCTTCTGATCTGCTCCAATTTGAATGAATTATTTCCACAGCTATTGTCCTAAGATCTTTATTTTCCATCAGGCAAGGAATACCTTTCATGCCCTTATATTTAATTCGGTATTTTTGGTATCCCATATTTTCTTTATTGTTTTTGAGTTACATATTCTTCAGCAGTTTTGTGAGAAAGGGAGCATGAGAAGAAAAATCTTAAAACCTTGTATGTCTCAGAATGTCTTTATTTTACTCTAACGAGAGATGAATAGTTTGAATGGTTATAGTACTCGAGGTTGGGAATAATTTTCCCCTCTCAATTTTGGAGGAACTTATTTAGCCATTGTCCCGTTCTCTTTTTGCTGTTGAGATTTCTGATGCAATTTTAAATCTTGATCCTTTATATGAAAACCTTAGTTCTGGAAGCTTATAGAATCTTCTTTGTCTCCAATGTTCTGAAATGTAACAGTATGCTCTAGGGAGGCTCTATTTTCATCATTTGTGCAGGTTACTTAATGGACAACTTCCAATCTAAAAACTCATGTTGTTTTGTTTAGGAAAATTTCTTTGAATGAGTTCTTTAATGATTTCATTTTCTGTTTTCTGATTTCCTTGAACTATTTTTATTCAGATATTGAATATCAGGAGCTAATTTTCCTGTAGTTCCCTCATTTTCCACCTCTCTTGTTACTTAATCTGTTTTCTGCAACATTTCTTCAATTTTAATATTCAACCAGAAATCTTCTGGTTAGTTGTTTCATTCCTATCTTTTTATTTCTAAAATTTTTGCTGTCTGATTATTCCTTTTTTTGCTAGTATCCTGTTCTTGTTTCATCAATACAATATTTTCCCATCTTTCTGAGGGTATTGTAATTGTTTTGAAATTTTATTCTTCTTGAGTCAGTTTGTTTTTGTTTCTTTTCCTTTCCTCTCCCCTTCCCCCATCCTTTCCTCTTCCTTTTCTTTCCTCCCTGTATTTTAAACCTGTGTTTTTTATAAACATATGCATTGCTTTGTTAAAAGATAAACTGAGATTTATTAGAATTTTAGAGTTTGAGCATGAGTTTGACAATTCATGAATTATGCAGAGCCAGAATGCAATCAGTTCAGGCCTTCACAAAAAGGTCATGAGGGGAAGCCTTTTCTAGGGTGAACAAGGAAGCAAGGCAAATAATTGATTTGTGGGAAGACTCTAGTGAAGGGTTAGTTGGCAGTTTCTGATTGGTTAAGCTTAAGTGGTGGAAAGTCCCTAGTGAGGTGCAGTTGACAGTTTCTAATTGGCCTAGACTATGACAGTTTACATTGAGTTGAGTTTTGGCATGTGTAAGTAGGAACCCAGGATGCTGGAACCATCTTAGATTGATGGCCTTCCAATTAATTATTGTAACAGCTCAAATGTCAGATGATTCTTGCCTAATATTTAAGAGTGGAGTACATGCTGGTACTGTTTCTTGGTGTCTTCACCGTAGGGTGAATGGCTGGGCTGTTAGTAGGAATTCCTGATGTCAGTCTCTTTAGATTTTTCCTCTTGTGTTCATCAGATTATTTGGCGAGGATTATTTCAATTTCTGGCCCAAAGGGTAGTCTTCTGCCTGCTAACCCTGGTGAAGTCAAGTTGGAAAAGGAGGTTGTAAAAGACTTTCAACATTTATTAAGTAAACTTTCAATTAATTCTCATTTTCATGATTATCTTACAGTTAACTGTTCTTGTGTTCTTTATATCAGAGACCCTCTCTTTTAACTTCTCCAGAGGATAAATCTTTGGCATCTTCTGCTGCAATAGGGAGAGCAGATATTATATAGTTCGAAAATACTAGCTACTTTTTAAGCTTTTCATCATGAAAATTTCAAGCATATTTTGAAGTACAGAGAGACAGGTATAGAGACAACAGTTCCCAAGTACAATTACTGACTCAAGGCCGGTTTTGTTTTATCTATTATTTTGAAGCAATCCCAGACATCACTATTTAATTCATAAATGTATATCTCTAAAGGAAAAAGTCATTTTTATAGAATAAAGGCCATACGGCTGCATCATTGTCACACCTAAATATAATTAACAGTCATTTCTTAGTATTATTGGATAGTTTAATCAGTGTTCAGATTTCCCTGATTGTCTCATTAATGCTTCTTCATTCTTACCCCACAGTGTGTTTGACTCAGAATCGAAATTAAGATCCTTGTTTTGGTTGCTTTGTCTCTTAAATTTTATAGTATCTTTCCCTCTTTCTTTCTCTTTCCCTTCGAAAATTACTTATTGAAGAAACAGGATCAATTACGTGGTTTTTCACTGTTTGGACTTTGCTGACTGCATCCTTATGGTGCCATTTAATATGTTTAATGTGTCCCTTCTATTTCCTAAAAACTGATAGTGAGATTAGATGATTTGTCAGAATTATGATTGCATTATTTTGGGCTGGGGGCAGAGGGAGAGCAACATTGTCTCAGAAGTATTGTACTTCTATCATGAGGCACTAATATCTTGTTTTTACTTTTTGTGATGTTAGTTGCCACTGATGACCATTGCCTAGATCCTAAAATTAATTTGGGTTTGCAAAATAAAGATATTACTTCATTCCATCCACATTTGTTAGATGGAAAACATCTACAAAACAGTGTCACCAACTGTTTGGTTACTTGTGATGTGATTCCTGTAGAAAGACAGGATTTTTTTTCCCTTATTTTCCTGTTTTTACAGAAATGAATTGGTTTCTTTACGTCCTTCAAAGGGAAGCAGTGCTTTTTAAAATTAAATTATTATTATTAATTTTTGAGATGCAGTCTCGCTGTGTCGCTCAGGCTGGAGTTCAGTGATGCGGTCTTGGCTCACTGCAACCTCCGTCTCCTAGGTTCAAGTGATTCTCCTACCTCAGCCTCCTGAGTAGCTGGGATTATAGGTGCCCACCACCATGCCTGGCTAATTTTTGTATTTTTTGTAGAGACAGGGTCTCACCATGTTGGCCAAGCTGGTTTTGAACTCCGGAACTCAAATGATCCACCTGCCTTGGCCTCCAAAGTACTGAGATTACAGGTGTGGGCCACTGCACTCAGCCAAAACTTATTTTTTTAGTGTCATGAACCCTTGGACTTAAATGGATTTGGTGTGTCAGTCTATTGTCCTTTTCAGTGTTCAATCTCTGGGCCATTAAGCCTCTTTAAGTTGACTTCTGAGTCATTTTAATGTGACTCCACTGGTCTTTGAAAACTGTCTTACTTTTTGGAATGACAAGATGTTTTGGGAACATTTTATATATTTTCTGCTTCAGACCTGGAATCAATTATTCCTTAGAGGAATTTTGTTCATTTTTGGAGAAAGGAAACTTAGAGACCACAGTCTATATGCTAAGGGGTAATTGATTCTTAAATAGACTTTAAAGCAACCCTATTTTTAGCCCTATCTCCTCATCTTTTTTTAGAGGCACTTGGTATTGCCACTTTCTGAAAATTTAGGAGATCCTTAAATGTGGATTGGTTGTTTCTTAGCTTTCTCCTTTGTTGATTTAACTTTCTTGAATCTGCTTAGTATATTATCACTCGTTCATTGACTTTATAGCTTCCAAAATTGCCCCTTTTTCCATTCCTGTTTTTTGTTTTTTGGTCCTTGTGGGTGTATGACATTAAATAAAATGTCTCATTTTAGTTTTAGAGTTAGTGCTAAATACTTTGTTTAATTTGTTAGCTTTCATTGTTATCTTTAACTAAAAGCCTTCTATTCATTAACTTCTTATGAGCAACAGTTTGGCTATCTTGATTTCACTTTCTTCAGAGAATCTTTTAAACTATTTCTTAAACCAAAGCAGTGCTCTCTTGAAGAAAAACTCTCCAAAAGTATCTTTTGTCATCTAACTTTGGTAAGAAGAGGAAGAGAGGGAAAGAGATGCAATGGAGAGAAGCAAGTGGGCAATAAGGAATGACAAAGTTGAAGATTTCATAGATCATTCCTAAGCTTAAAGTCTTGATAGTTTTATTTTTCCCCCAAAAAACTTCTCAAATAAACCAACTTCTTGACTATCCCAACACTTCTTTAATAAACAGCTTAAAATACTGTATGATTGACTTAGGCTTTAGGCAAAGAGCATTTCTAGTGTTAAAAGAGGAATTTTTTAAGTGTGTAGTATATAATGGTGATTTTTATTTGACTTCTATCTATTGTGGTATAACAGCCATTTTTTTCTCTGACAAGAGAAATATTAAGTTAGTGGGGTAAATTGCTTAGAAGACAACTGCACCATTTACTCAATTAATAAGGGAGCCTAAGATCTAGAAATAGTGAATGCCTGAGGCTGTCGTCAAGCCTACACTTGAGACCATCCTGTGGTTCTCAGTTAAAGCTTAGCAGTGGAATTGTTATATAAACTTTCAACTGCATTCAGTTCAGCATTAATTTGTTTATCTTACTATTTGAATAGCCCAAATAACTGTGTGTGGTGGCCTTTAGTTCTGTCCACCAGTATTTCTGGTTCTTCTCATTCTGGGCACATGGTAGGCTTGTACTTCTCTACTCTCTTGAAGTTAGGAGTGGTCATATGACTTGTTCTGATCAAAGGAATGTGAAAGAACCAGTACACAATTTACCATGTTCTATTCTATTGCCTTGGTTGTTCCAGATGATACAAACTCTTGAAACTTGCATCCCTGAATGATGACTATGTAGAGCAGAGCAATGGGGGTGCAGTGAGATCATGAAAAAAAATGTTGTGGCCGGGCGCGGTGGCTCAAGCCTGTAATCCCAGCACTTTGGGAGGCCGAGGCGGGTGGATCACGAGGTCAAGAGATCGAGACCATCCTGGTCAACGTGGTGAAACCCCGTCTCTACTAAAAATACAAAAAATTAGCTGGGCATGGTGGTGCGTGCCTATAATCCCAGCTACTCAGGAGGCTGAGGCAGGAGAATTGCCTGAACCCAGGAGGCGGAGGTTGCGGTGAGCCGAGATTGTGCCATTGCACTCCAGCCTGGGTAACAAGAGTGAAACTCCGTCTCAAAAAAAAAAAAAAAAAAAAATGTTGTTACTTAAAGCCATGAGATTTTGGGATTCTGTCACTTTGGTGTAACCTAGTGTGATGGTTAATACTGAGTGTCAACTTTGATTGGATTGAAGGATGCAAAGTATTGATCCTGGGTGTATCTGTGAGGGTGTTGCCAAAGGAGATTAACATTTGAGGCAGTGGGCTGGGAAAGGCAGACCCACCCTTAATCTGGGTGGGCACCATCTAATTAGCTGCCAGAGCAGCTAGAATATAAAGCAGGCAGAAAAATGTGAAAAGACTATACTAGCCTAGCCTTGCAGCCTACATATTTCTCGTGTGCTGGATGCTTCCTGTCCTCGAATATCATACTCCAGGTCCTTCAGTTTTGGGACTTGGACTGGCTCTCCTTGCTCCTCAGCTTGCAGATGGCCTATTGTGGGACTTTGTGATCGTGCGAGTTAATACTTAATAAACTCCCCTTTATATGTCTATCCTATTAGTTCTGTCCCTCCAGAGAACCATAATACACCCAGCCTTTTTATTTTTTTTAAACTAATATATATATTATATTTATTTATTTCGCCTTTTGGGAGATGAGATCTTACTATATTGCCCAGGCTGCTCTTAAAACTCCTGGGCTCAAGCAGTCCTCCCCCCTCAGCCTCCCAAGTAGCTGGAGCTACAGGCATGCACCACCATACCTAGCTAACTTAGCCTGTCTTGACTAATTCACAGTGAATATAAGTCTTACTACTTAGTTTCTCAGAAAAATATCCTACTGTTTTGATTCCTATGTTAGCACCTAGGTAGTTAAGAACAAAAGATATGGATGATTAATTTTGAAAAAAATTTTTATGGCTATTTTAAAAGTCAAGCTTCCATTTATAAAAGATGCAATTCTAAAATGCTTTCAGGGTGAGATTTTTGAGGACTATGTCTTCACGTCTTTGATAGTTATGATCGTATCATAGGAGACGGAAATAAAGCTTTTGAATTCTGACTTATGGAGTAAGAGTAATTTTTTTTTAATTTTTAATTTGTTTTTTAGAGATAGGAACTTGCTTTGTTACCCAGGCTGGAGCGCAATGGCATGATTATAGCTAACAGCAGCCTCGAATTCCTGGGCTCAAGCCATCCTCCTTCCTCAGCCTCCTGAGTAGCTGGGACTACAGGATGTCCTCCTCTGCCCAGCTAACTTTTAAATATTTTGTAAAGACAGGGTCTTGCTTTACTGTCCAGGCTAGTCTTAAGCTCCTGGCTTCAAGCAGTCCTCTCCCCACAGCCTCTCAAAGTTCTGGGATTAGAGGCATGAGCTACCATGCCTGGCCAAGTAATGATTTTTTAATATTGAGAGATAATATATTGCTGTCATGGGAAAAGCAATATACCTGAAAGTTTAAATCTGTTGCGGTTTGTTTTTTGTTCTGTCTCTTGCTCATAGTGGCTTGTTTCCTTACATGGTTTAGTGATTTTAAAAAATACCAAATACGTATTTAGTTGAGCTTAATTTGTGAGAATCCTAATGGCCTAAATTGAAGATTATTTCACGGAGGATTTGCACTGATTTCTGTCAGAAGCCGGGGATCTATACACCTGAGACCACTTTAGCACCATTTAAAAGTCTTGCCTTAATATGTGTGGAGTTGGGTTGTTTATCATTCTGATCTTCCAGGTTTAGTTTCTCTGTGCCCCCCACTCTTACAGCTCACTGTTGTTTTTTACACCCTTAGAACTTTCCGTTACCTACAAGCCCAGAAATATATTAAAATGCTTTTTAATAGCATATCGTGGATCTAGTTGTATAATAGAGCAAAAGTCTTGTTTTTTTTCTCCTGTAAGAAAAAGTTCTAGAAAACAAATTCCTGAGAATATTAAGAAGCATCGTATATACTTGCAGTATTCATAGAACGCAGGTTTACCAAAGGTTTAGCATGTCTTCTTGTAACTGCCTCGAGCTTGGCTACTCACTGCTTAAAGGCCAGAACATGAGAAGTGAGGTGTGGTGAAAGGAAAGCAACTTTATTCAAATGCTAGCAGCTGGGGAATGGCTAGGCACATTCCCTTCAAAGTCCATTTCAGCTTTTTGGGCTGAGTGATGGGTTTTAGTAAGGAAAACTTAGTGTGGGAAGTATGCAGGAGTGGTGCTGAAGTGGGCAGGTCAACATTTATTGTTCAGAAACACGTAGACTATCTTGAGTAACCTCCTGTCTGGAGGTCCGGCTGGTACCGTCTTGACTACTTCTTGGTAGTGGTGGACTAATTGTTCATAACTCCCCCTAAGCTGGAGGATTCGCAGCTGGTTCTCTATGCCTGGCTTGTTTCAAAATTAGCTCCTGGAATTTCTAAGCAAGCACATAATTAGATAAGCGAGCACTGTGCATAGGAGTGTCTGGTGGGAAAGGAGGGAAAACAAAGTTTTAAAGTATGTTTCAAGGTTAAAAGCAAGAAAGGAAAAAATATGTTTCAAAGTGCATTTTGAATGTGTTTTGGTTACATTATCTCACCTAATCTCCATAGCAATAAAATATACAACCTTTTTCAAAAGGTAGGTATGTTTGCCATTAAATTTGTCATTTCCAAAAATGAGGACTTGGCTTTATAAGTCATAATTGGAGGATATTTTGATATTAGTACTTATTAGTATCTCATTTGTTGTTTTTGACTTAAATATTTTCATGCAGAAACATACAATATGCTTACAGTGGATGAAAAAATATAAAATTATATCTCATGTTATAATTATGTCATATATCTGTATGTTAAGCATTAGAAATTGACATGGCAAAAATAAAAATAGAGTTAGAGATTGTGGAAGTCTCACTCATTTTATCCTAGTGTTATTCTTATGATTTTGTACAGTTAATGAAATATACACAAAATGTATTAAATGAGCATTAATACCTCAGTTTTTATTAAAAATTTATTAATTTTATAGTTTTAATTAAATCTGTTAATATATTTATACAGAGAAGTCTAAGATATGTATGTTTATGTATATATTTATATATCGAACCCTCAACCACAATTATCTCTGGGTGATAAGATTTCAAGGGATTTAAAAAAAATGTATTCATTATGATATTTTCATAATATCCAGTTTTATAAACAAAGATAATTTATTAATTTTATGATTGTTAAAAAATGATAAAGCTATTTTCATTTTGGAAAAAA